CAAGACAAGGGACTGGTGTCCCAGCAAGGGTATTTGACCAGGGCCGGGGCAGGAAGCCGGGACCAGGGCAGGCGGGCCGGGCCAAACAGGGAGGAAGAGCAAATAAATGTCGACAGAAAATATATATACATATATATATATGTATATATATTTTTTAAAAGACTCAATTACAGTCCTAGCTGATTTGACTCAGTGGATAGAGCGTCACCATGCGGACTCAAGGGTCCCAGGTTCGATTCTGCTCAAGGGCGTGTACCTTGGTTGTGGGCACATCCCCAGTGGGGAGTGTGCAGGAGGTAGCTGATCGATGTTTCTAACTCTCTATCCCTCCCCCTTCCTCTCTGTAAAAAATCAATAAAATATATATATATATATAAAAAAAAAGACTGCCCTAGCCGGTTTGGCTCACTGGATAGAGCGTCGGCCTGTGGACTGAAGAGTCCCTGGTTCGATTCTGGTCAAGGGCACGTACCTTGGTTGCAGGCACATCCCCAGTAGGGGGTGTGCAGGAGGCAGCTGATTGATGCTTCTCTCTCATCGATGTTTCTAACTCTCTATCCCTCTCCCTTCCTCTCTGTAAAAAATCAATAAAATATATTTTTTTAAAAAGATAAAAGACTCAATTACAAGAGGAGGGCCCACATAACCCACTAAAGGGACATCCCTAGAGCACCCAGCTTAGGTGATCAAAGAGACTAGGCCACTTAGTCCCACAGGACACCTACCACATTAGGCCACCCCACCAAGCTGGGAGTCATAGCAGACCTAGCTAAGACACAGAAACAAACACAAAGATGCAGGCAAAATAGGGAGACAGAGAAACAGACCCCAAGTGAAAAAAAACAGTAGAAATCTTTTTAAAAAAAAACAAAACAGCTAAATCAAATGGAAGCAAGCAGTTTATCAGGTATACAGTTCAAAGTAATGGTTATAAGGATGTTCCAGGAACTTAGGGAAAGTTATAACAGCATGAAAAAACCTTTTTTAAAAGTCAGAAATGAAGAATACAATATATGACATCATGAATACACTGGCCGGGGCTGGGTGGCTCATTCAATTGGAGCATTATCACATACACCAAAAGGCTGTGGGTTCAATTCCTATTCTGGGAACATACCTAGTCGTGGGTTTGGTCCCGGGTTAGGGTGCCTATGGGAGGCAGCCAATCAATGTTTCTCTCTCCCTCTCTCCTTCCCTCTTGTCTCAAAAATCACTTTTAGCCTTGACTGGTGTTTCTCAGTGGGTAGAGCATAGGCCCCTGCACCACAGAGGCTCAGGTTCAATTCCAGGTCAAGGGCACATACATAGGTTTCAGGTTTGATCCCAGCCCCAGTTGGGGCATGGGAGGGTGTAAGAGGCCGTGGGGTTACAGGAAAGGCCTGACCTCACTCCAAGTCATGTAAAGGACATGAACTTGGCTTGCACCCCAGTTCTTGTGATTTAGGCAAGCAGACATTTTGTCATAGCAACTGTTTGTCATAGCAACTGTCAAACATAGATGGAACTAGACAAAGCTTGCCCAGTCTTGCCCAGTCTGTAACGATCTACTACTTCCCCATGATAGGCCAAGCTCTAGCAGTGATCTATGCAGCATGACCAGCCACAGCTTAGCTATAAAACAGTGTGTGTAAAAAATAAAGTTGCTGGTGCCTTGTGCCAGTCCTCCTAAACCCCGGTCTCTGGTGCTTTCATCCCACGCCGCCATTACCCTACAGGACCTTTTGGGAGCGGGTCTCCACAGGAGGGAGGCAACCAGTAGATGTGTCTCTCTCACACTGATGTTTCTCTCTCCCCAAGCCCCCCACCTCCCTTCCACTCTCTGAAAAGCAATGGAAAAATTATCCTCTGGTGAGGATTAACAAAAATAAAATAATTTTTTAAAAATATCCTCAGTTGAGGATTTTGAAAAAGAATACACTGGAAGGAATAAACAACAGGTTAAATAAAGCAGAAGATCAAATGAGTGATTTGGAAGACAAGGAAGAATAAAAAAAACAGAGTAGCAAAAAGAAAAAAAGTTAAAAGAATGAGGATAGTTTAAGGGACCTTTGGGACAACATGAAGTAGAACAACATCATCATCATAGGGGTACCAGAAGGAGAAGAGAGAGAGCAAGGGATTGAGAATTTATTTGAAGAAATAATGACCAAAAACTTCCCTAAACTAGAGAAGAAAAAAGACACACAAGTCCCAAATAAGAAAAATCCAA